CCCCTTCTTTTCCTCCTAAATCCACCTCAATGTTCAGCCCATACAGACATTTTATATAAAAGCATGCTTTTTATGTCATGTTAAAACACACACTGCACATTGCAACCCATACATGCAAATATCATGCGGGTTTATACAAAGCAAGTCATAAATTTAAAAGATGTTTATTTTATGAGAACTCACGCACCTAGTCTGGACACGCTGTGTGTTGCCTTGCAGATTTATCTGGGATTTCTTTGTTGACTGTTGAATAGACTCCAAGTTGTAGCTGTTGTAGCCTACATGGGAAAGTAAAATGCAAATAACACAGTGAGTGCTCTGTGGAAGTCCCCTTTCTGACCCAACTTTAGTCTGGTCAATGAGGGTCTGCCTCTCATCAGAGTGAGAGAGTGAAAACTCAAGTGTGTCAAATCCTCCAGCTGCACATTTGGCACAAACTCAGACTAATAAGTTGAAACAGGCCCACAATCTTTAATATTACTTTAGTATTTTTTATTATATTATTTGATGCAGTTCAGCTTTGATTGTATAGCTCTTTTCCAAACAGACTTATGACTTTTAATCTAATATAAGTTTATTTGTTCATATCTTGACAACAACTCAATAGAGGTCCATGAAATGTTGAATTAATTATAAAAGAGAACAGAGAGAAGAGACTATATAATATAAATAACAGCAAACATAAAAAAAAAAGATTCTACAAAATCACACACTTTAGAACAAACTATTAATCAATCAAGCAGTTTAGAATGGCAAAAATTAACATGATCTAATAAGATAGCTTTCATTGATAAGCTTGAGAGCCTGGTATCTACATTTCTCTTTACCAACCAGGAAAAAAAACTTGGACTAAGAATTACAGTTGCATTTAAATATAAGAGAAAGGTGTTGTACCTTTTTCAAGTTGTATTGTACCTTGGGAAAAAAATTTTTTTTTCCCCCCTCCGGAAAAAAAATAAAAAAATTATCTATCTATCTATCTTGTTCATGTTCATGTATTTTTTTTTCATTTTCACAGAAAATCCAATAGATTTATTTGAAGATTTTTATATTTATATTTGCAACAGTTGTGACATGTTACATCACTTTAAATAGGCCCGTCCCAGGTTTCATACTTCCTTAAACCTGTGGGGCATGATTAACTAAGGAGTGGCACCTTTTGAACTAGTTGGCTGCCATGGTTATTTCATGAAATCTGCCAAATCTGCCAAATCAAGTTTAGTCAGTGATGTCAGAAACTGATTGATGAATAAGTCTCACCAAGTCAGGTTTGGGGAGGAGACGTTAGTGTTTTGCTCTCCTTCTCCATCACTTAAACAGCGAGCACCATGGAGATACAAAAGTTAGGTGTTTCTCAGAGTGGTTTCTAGTTGAGTAGGTTGTTCTTCTTTTTCTAGACACCAAACAATACCCCCCTTTCGTCGAAACAAATTGCCAACAAGAACAAAGTACCACAGGTTGCCTTCCAACAGCAACAGTACATCAAACATAATGACTTTGCCAGTCTTGCAACATTCATGAATTCAAACCTTGGTTTTAATGATGGTTACATTATGTTCTATTTTTTTTACAGATTGTCTGTTGTCCACACCTCTGTACAACTCTGCTTAAGTTACACTACCTACTGCTGTTTGATAACATAATATCTGCCACCTGCTTTCCTCTTTTGTAATGCAATGAGGGGCAAGCTAGGAGGTTCAAATGCTATGCAGATATGTTTACAGCAAAGTAAACACAAGCCATGACTACAATGTTATTTTCAGTGCTAACTCATAGCTGACCTAAATCAGTTAATTGCAGTTGTGTCGTCTGTGCATTCTACCACAACTCCCTTAAAAGCAGCAGGTGAAGTAAACATTATTCACAATTTGTTTTACAGTTCAGTTGTTTTGCAGGTCATTGGCTCACCAGTGTCCCAGTGTACTAGAATTCAATTCACTGCGCAGTGATTCACCACCTACTGACCAGGGAACTGATTTCAGACAAAACTGTTGATTCAGGTTCCAGAAGAAAGATGGCAGGGGAGAGGAGAGGCTCATTACTACACTTTTGGAAAGCCTCTTTATTTGTCTGACTGATATGAAAGAGGCCCGTTCATGTAAAAGGTTTTTTTATTTAATTTCAAACTTTGACTTTGAATGCTGTCTAATGTTTAGCCTGTTTGCATCCCTCCCCTGTACTGCCTGGAATTTGCCAGTGCTCACCAGAGTACCATTACTTGTGATTTTTGTCCACATGAATACCCTTGTTGAACTCTGTCTGTACCAAAATGTTTTAATTGTGCAAAGAAAGTCTAATCATTTCAGTGACTTGACATAACAATGTGCTTTAACAAGATTTGTTTTAATTGCGATTAGACTGGGTCGTCATGTAGAAACTTGGTGACCATCTCTGAAACTGAAGAATACATATATTCAAGTTCAGCTTCTTTTATTTGTCATAACAAACACAATTACAGGCACTCGGAGAGCTCAGACTTTCTGCCAAGGCTATTAGTCTGGTCTTGATATGCAAATGTGCAAGCTCAACTACAACAAAGGCAAGTAATTATTTTTGTAACCACTCCTTGATTCTGATCTGCTCAGTGTCTTTGGCCCAGGCTACACATTTCCACCAAGTTTCATGAGAATTTGGCCAGTACTTTTTCCGTCCTGCTGACGGAGAAACAAATGTCAAAGAAAACATCCTTGTAATAGGATAACACTTCCTTGGCAGAAGTAATGACACATCAACTTTACATACTTCCAGTGAATGTAGTATTTCCATTTCAGTTGAAACATTACTTTAGCTTCCTCCTTGTTTGGGTTTGTAAATCCTTTTCACTTCTCATTGATATAGTCAAAAATTGAATAGCCGTCATGCAACCTAACCCTAACAACGCAATTTTTCCTTCACAAAACTTAATTTCATGTGAGAGGCAGCATACAGGCTATTATGTGTTTTTATGAATCAGACACTGAAATGTGCCAACTGAAGTGGTTATTTGTCCATGGTAAAACAGAGGTGATAAAGGTTATGACTAGTTTTAATTCATGGTGGTGATAGACGTGAGCACTGCAGTGCACAGGTCGCTGGGCTCAGTTGCTTTGGGATTTTGGAGATGGGAACAATGGTGGCTGCCATGAAACATGAGATAACAGCGAGGTGGAGGGAGGAAGCCTGTTACAGCGGCTGCTAATTGCCCTGCACATGCCCAGTGGACCTGCCCTTGAAAGACCCCGTGTTCTGCTGCTTTTCAAGGGTTTATCCATTTATACATTTGACTGTACATGAACACAGAGAAAATCCCCCATATTTTGGAGTTATACTGAGATGAATGTGTGTCTGGACGGTCCTGCAAAAACATATAAACACTAAAATTATGAACACTAAAATGTATCACCATGTTTTGAAATTCAGGCTGTTTCGCTTTTCAAGATTTAAATGCACTTGTATTTTTGAAGAAAAACCTGGGGCCAAATGTTCACTGCTTCATATCCAGGCTTGCTTTTGAAAAATGAAAAATGTTCAACCAAAGTGAAATACTGCTACTAGTCCAAATATCTCAAAATGTAAAATAAAAGCTCACCCAAAATGAGAATTCAGTCATTATTGATTCACCCTCTTGTTAGCTGAAAAGCCATTGAAGTCTGCAGGATGATGAAACACATAGCCAGTTAGCCTTCATCATTACATCTCAGCCTTTTCCTGAACTACTGATGTTATTTTACTGCTCCAAAGTTCCATAGAAAAATGCATGTTTTATTATAACCCAAGTATTCAAAGGGAAAGACTTTATAAGGAATTATAAGGTAAATGTTGGACCTATGTTATAATAATTGGACTGAAAATCTCAGAATCTTTTATCAAAAGTATCATTGACTTCCCCACATTTTGTCTCATAGGATTTAACTTCTCCCACAATATAACATATAGACCCACTTCCGTTACCTACACAATCACTAGACAACCACATTGTGGGAATAATTTGTATAAGCTACTGAATCACTAGCATTGTCTAGCCAGTGGGAGCTGACTACTGCAAGCTTGTGAAACCAAGATTTGTGCTTGAGCCTTGAGGATATTCCTCTTATGCATCATTGCTAATATATTGTAAGATTCCAGTCTAAAAAGTAACTTCTTTTGGGTGTGGAGTGCAAGCCTGGACAAGTGCTCACCCACACACGCTGAGTAATTCATGACGGCTGACGACAAACTCATGATCACGCCAGGTAGCCTGAGGCTAAAGCTCTGCAGTGACGCATCAATTTCCGTCAAATACCAGTGGCAACAGTTATTGTATACAGTACACACTGCCTGCAGAGAGACAATACTGAGCTGTGTTTGTGGCAAAATCTGTCAGGTCATTTTTTGAAAAAACTTTGAAACAAGACCAAAAGTAAAGATTCTTGTTGCGTTGAAACGCTTCTCCTGTGACATGGGGATGGAAGATAGAATGATAAGGAAGTACTGATGAAAAAGGGAGTGTTGTTTCATGCATCTCCAGAACCACACATAATTCATCATGTCTCTAACTGAGCTGTTTCCAAGGCATTTCCCAACTGTCAGCCACATATTTTATACTTCCGTGAATGCTGTTTCACACAGTGTGCATAGTGCTTTCAATTTCTTGTCACAATTAAAGTGCTGTTTGAACTTCATCATGGTCTGCTGCATTTGTTTATATATTTTGCGTGTCTCAAACCTGTCTTGACTGACATGAAGACCTGCAATCTTATGCTTCTTTTCTTCTTCTTCTTCTTTAAATTTGACATATGTGAGTAAGTAACTTGTAAGTAACTTGATAGAACAAAAAATATTATTTCAGGGGTGAAAGTTCTGCCACTATTCATGTCAAGTCAAACTGAATTTCTATAGCCCAAAGTCAGAAATCACAATTTGACTGAGGGGGCTTTACAATCTGTACAACGTTCAAGATCTGTCCTTAGACCCTGGATTCATGGAAGTAAAAGACCTTATTTTGTTTTCCTCTATTTAATATTCCACCCCTTATATAATCTTTCAATTTCAACTTCATTTTGTTTCTGGAGGGCAATTGTTTTTTACAGGAAGGCATGGTCCAATACATAAAAGAAAGACATACAATACAATAATAAGGAGGGGAGGAGCCCCGAATACAGTAAGTTAGAAGCCCAACAAATAGGGATAAGCGAGTACACCATTATTTGTATCGGTTCAACCAACTAAATTATCTGTATTCTAATTTGTACTGTGAATAGGCAGTGCTTAAACTGGGGCTAACTGGAAGTTGGCAATTTGAGCCTGAAATGGGTTGTTCAGAAGATGCTATGTGTATCAGAAAACTATTTACAAAAAGTTAAACAACTATTAAGATAATTTTCTCTCATAAAAGTAACTACATTGACACATATTGACACACTTTTCTTTGATGATACTCGTACTTATAAAAAGAACATTAGCTGTACTGGATACATGTTTAAGCTGAATACTCGCACAATCCTATGCTTAGCAATAACATCTGAAAATTACAAGGCGAATTAAATAGCAGCATATTATGACCATATAAATATGTAAGGAGGGAATAAAGTGCATAGTGATTACAGGCATGTTGATGATCAACATCTTGACATCAATACTCACCATCATAAACTGCCTAGACATCAACATCAACATCAACATTAACATCAACATCATCATGATGTCATCACAACTACACTACACACTCACTGGGAGTCACTAACTCATTCAGAAGAGAAAGGACTGTGGGGGGAAGGAATGCTTGTACCTGTTACTCTTAACAAGTACTATGCATATATGAATATAACTTACTTTTTTTATCATGCCGAACAATTTGGGACCAGTTTTGGCCTATTAAACATTAGCCATTCAGCTAATAGCTGTACTTTTATTTAATTACTTTAAAATTACATCTAACCTATTTTCCTTCCACTTTTTGGTAGGTCATTGGAGTTTGAGTCTGGTCACCTATGTATCAAAGGAAAACAACAGAAGAAGCTTTTTCTGGTATTTCTTTAAATGAATTTGCCTCACAAGTGTTTCTTATTTTTATTTTGTATTGAATTGAACTGAAAGGGTAGATGGGGTCATTCAGCCACATCTGATCTGATTTATGTTGTCCATCCTCTTCCAGCAAGAATTTGAAAGCAAATCAACTTCCTGAACAACTGGATTTCTTTTTCTTTTTGTTGCAAGTGTTTGTGTGCTCTGTCTGAGGAAGAAGGAAAAAAAAAACCGTGAGAAAGTGTGTGACGAAGAGGGTGTGCTCACAGGTGCGCCAGCCCTCCTCTGTGTGTGTGTCATTGTTATATTGATATAAACCTACCCTGCTGTGTATAAAAGGCAACAACATGATTCATCTGCTTTAACTTCAGCCAGGTTAGTGTGCCAAATAGTTCCAGCTCACCAACAGTTAACTATTTGAGTCCAGGCTCCATCACAAGTTTTCGGTATAAAGATGAAGAATCTTCTTTTTGGGGTTATTCTTGGGCTTCTTGCTGTTGTCCACTCAACACCTGTTAATGGTAAGTCCTTTTTCTTATTTTATTCAACATCAAGAGCAACAAGAGCTAATCACTCTTATACACTATAACGATCACTTTCACTAGTAGCTGAGTATCTGTTTGATATGTGTTGTCTTTTAGGGTTAAGCTTTAGAATTACGATACAAATTCTGATGTTCTTCTGCTTATAACCTCATGTAATATATTCATTGTTGGTTAATGGAATTCTTTGGGGAAATGACAGTCTTCCACGTCAGAACTGAGAAGACCATAGTCATGGGTTTTGCAGTCTGACAAATACAGCAATTCTTCTATACAGACCTCTGAAATTTCAATAATTCCCATGGTGTCCTTTTTCTTACCCTGTGAGTCAGCACTTCCCCTGCCGTCACCTAAGATGCTCTTTATGTTTCAGGTCTAACTCTTTCTGTAAGAATGCCAGAGTAGTATTTCATTGCCGGTGCACAGGTTTCACTGGCACCTCCAGATTACACACAGCGATCATTGTAAAATGTCCTGAGCTGCTCCAGGAGGTGCATTAATGCGTATTTCTTGTGTAAGGTGAAACCAAAGATCAGCAAAGAGCTGTTACACAAGTTTAGGCAACCGGTAACTTCATAGGGAACAGTGGAGCTGAACATGACTGGGCAGAAATGAAGAGTGGAGATGTGATTTGATTCTCAGGCCTTTTATTTATTTTTTTGATTAACTATTTTAACCCTTGTTTGACTTTATTGGGATTTACCTGGTTTTTGTTTTGTATATTATCAGAAAAAAAATTATCTAAAGTATCAAAAGTTAAAGCATTCTGCCGAACAATGGTCCCTATGACTGATATTATTATATGGAGGTGCAGCTAGTTTTAACAACTTTGCATACAGTTATCTAAGGCCAGTGGTTTTCGACCTAGGGGTCAGGTGCCTCCAAAAGGTCACATAAATCTGAGGGGTTATGAGATGATTAATAGGCTATAAAGAAGAAGAAAAACAAAAGTTCAAATAGTTCAAATTCAAATAGACATTTAAGTGAAACCACCTGACAACTTCCGGGAAGTTTTGTAAGTGGTAACACGGTTTGAAACCACTAGTTTATTCTTCAACAAAGTTCGTATTTTGCAAGCATATAATTAAAAAGCTACAGCTGTCAGGTAAATAGCACAATATTTCCTACTGAAATGTAGTGTGGTAATATAAAGTAACATACAATGGAAATAAATGCTAGATACTTTCTTTCCACTAATGGTTATGACAATATGCTATAAAATATGAAAATAATTCACACTATTAAGCTAATAATACTAATAATAAGTATTATAATTATGCAGGGAGTTTAGATTTAAACAAGCAAAAAACAATGAATATTTTCATGAATTTTATGATTATGCACATTCTCTCATTTGTCCTCTTGCTTCTTCCTCCCAAATGGCACAAAAGGGTGATATGGCTTCCTTTCAACTAAAACAGAAAAAAGAACTGTCATGGTTTACACTGTTGTACTGGGTGTGTCAAAAGTTTGTTATGCTCTTACTAAACCTGATGCTTTGATCAGGCTGCCTCTCTTTTGTTACCCAACTCATCGACGATTAGTCACCCAGGTTAATCATTACTGTTAATCACCACACCTCATCAAAGAAGACCACATCACAAGTTTATACAAGAATTTGGGGCGAAGCAAATAAGCCCTGTGTGGTAATTTTGTAATACACCATAGAAGCTTGGTAACTTTCCCTTCTGCTCATGTCAGGGCTGGTAGGTAAACACTTATGGTGACCTGTGGATTTTTCCCTTTCTCTTTGTCCCAGCTGTGACCCAGGATGATTTTTATCGAGAGGCTGTGACGGATGGGTTCCTCATCGCTAACCCTTCTCTAAATTTACTCACAACTGAATCACCCAAAAGAAATGCAACTGTTCAAGCAACCCGGCAGCCGTCCTCTGAGTCCAAAGAGAGTGACATTCCTGAGGGCAATGGAGACAGCAATACACAAAGCTCTACCTCCACCATGTTGCCAACGTACACTGAGGACTACAGCTCAGGTTCATCTACCATGCCAAATGAAGTCAATCCCAAAGAAAGCGACATATGGGAGGGCAGTGGTTTGGGGGACACCAATGACAA